AAAAAAAAAAAAAAAAAAAAAAAAAAAGCTTGGTCCAACCTATCTCCTAATCAATTCCCGACGGATCAATTTCTTCCTGCTGACAGCAATTGCAAGGAAGATGAGCAATAGCGAACTTCAGCAATCAAACAGCATCATATACACAAGACCAGATAGTCGTGACCTCAAACCAACAGCAGAATTGCATCACGAGTTTCACCAAATAAGAAGACACCAAGAGCTCATAATTGACAATGCTGGTAAAGTCTCATCATCATCATCAATGAAGAACCAATGTTGATATCCTATCTGGCGCTCAGCGCCCAGACTACAGATTGCAGATCCTATCTAGCCTAGACTACAATGCCGAATGATGACGACAACAGCTTTCCCGAAGTACGAGCATACAGCGACCAATGCCGCACGCTTCCAGCACCAGGTATGTCTCTCGCCTCACTCACAACCTCGTTCCCCAACACACAGATGCCACTTGCACCCAAGGACCACCCTGCGCCACACCCAACTTACAGCAGCGCAGCTCGGCTATGGCTGGCTGCTCCTTCCGGCTCGCCCGTGAGCGCGTGAGTGCCAGCGAGCTTCAGCGCAGCAGTGCTTGCGCAACATGCAGCCAGCACCCGAATGCCAAATGTGGAGGCAGGCCCTTTGCTATATGGAAGTGGCCTGCCTGCTTGATGTCCCAGGCTGCGCTGGGCCTTTCCCAAGAAGCTTCCGGTAGGCCCCGGTAGGCTGAGGCCCATTCCACACAACTGAGGCCCTGGGCCTGTAGTGGTCGTTCGCGCCCAACTGTCAACGGCCTGTGTTAGGCCCACATCTCGTATCCAGCCCAGGGCCTGCCTTCGATACATTCGAACAGGCTGCCCAGGGCGTGGGTTCTTCCAACCAACCGGCGCTGCGCAACTGCCTGAATTTCCTTGAGTTGCGTGGTGACCAAAATAGGGGCCCTCAGCCCCTCGTCGTGCCTGCCTTCACTTAGGGCGGCCGACGTGATACTTGGCAGGGCCTAAAAAGGGGCTCATTGGGGCATAAGCCTCACATTCCCTCCTCCATAACTTCGCTAGTCCTTTGAGAAGTTCAGTCTTCGATGATCTGGCGTTTTCCCTTCTGCAGAGATTTCTCATATTGAGCTACAATCTGAGGAGCGGTCTGCATGAGTTCCTCCCTAGTGAACCGGCGGTCCTCCTTTGGATCCAGATGATGTCGGACCCGAACTCGGTACTGCAGCTTCAGTTTCGGAGGACGTCCCCTGCCTGTCGGTCTTGGAACGGGCAGCTCCCTGTGATCCACGATGTCGTCTATATCCACCTCTCCATCCATGGTTGGGGGCAGCATTGAGCGTCGAGAAGGAAACTGATCTGTTTTCGTGAAAGGTGCAAGCTTGGAGGCGTGAAAGACAGGGTAAGTGCGTAAGTGACCAGGGATGCGAATAACATAAGACGGGCCATCCGGTTCATTCCCCACGACATCCAATACCTCCCACGGTCCAAAGTACTATGGCATGAATTTACGGGAAATCCTGTACTCTTGTCCTAGTTCGGAGGACTTCACCCAGACTCTTTCCCCTACCTGGAATGTAGATGGGCGGCGGTATTTGTTCTCAGACTCTATCATCGCCGCCTGTGCTTTATGCATCTGCTCAACAGCCTGCTGCATCAAGTGCTCATAACTATATGCAGACTCTAGAGTCCCTGGTGCAGCAGTCGGCTGATTGTCAGGTAGTAGAAAGTCTAAAGGTAGTCCAGTAGCAAGTTGTTAGGACTGACTCCGGTTGCGCTGTGCACAACATTATTGTACAAACTGGCGATGAGAGCAAGTTTCTCATCCCAATCTACCTGATTTGGTTTGATGTAATGCCTTAGCAGGTGTTGTACAGCGCGGTTCATTTGTTTAGCCTGCCCATTTGCCTCGGGATGATTGTCTGATGTCATCTGTAGTTGCGTGCCTTGCTTTGCAGCTGCTGCTTTCCACAATTCGCTAGTAAATCGCACGTCCCGGTCGCTAACGATAGACTTTGGCAATCCAAAATCTCTAGCCCAATTCTCCTTAAACATTTTAATCACATACTCCGTCTTAGCTGTTGCCGACATTGCAACTAACCTAGCAAGCTTACTAAACCTATCCACAATGACGTAGATGTAGCGCATTCCACTCTTGCTGGTGACCAGCATATCCATGAAGTCCATGGACAGGCTCTCACCAGGCCTTTTCAGAATTGGAAGGGGCTTCAGGAGCCCAAGAGGAGCCTGAGTACATGGCTTGTCCTTCTGACAGACTTGACAAGCCTCCACGTACAACTTAGCATCTCTCATCAATGTGGGCCACCAAAACCGCTGCAACAGATTGGCTGCAGTCTTCTTAAAGCCAAAATGTTCGGTGGCATCATGACATTCTCCTAGAAATAAACTACGCAAAGACTCCCTATTAGGAACACACAAACGTTTATTCCTGGCCTTCTCAAGGAAAAGCAAGTTTTTGACCAACTCAAACTCAGCAGAAGTCACTTTGTCCTTCGCCTCGAGTCTGCGGATGATCTCAGACATGAACGGATCCTCGCGATAGGCTTCCACCAAAGACTGAGTAACATTGTCCGCAAGATTGAACTCATTAATCAGCGCACCTGAGAAATCAGGTCTACGCGACAAGGCGTCAACAACCTTGTTGTACTCGCCCTTGATGTACTGGGGCTCGAAGTCATACTGCTCAATGACTTCGATCCAACGCTTGAGAGCGTCAGAGAGTACCGGTTGAGTTCTCATCCATCTCAGGGTCTGATGATCAGTCCTGAGGATGAAGAACCTCCCAAGGAGGTAGTGCCTCCAAGGGGTCATAGCCTTGTAAACCGCATAGAGTTCCTTCTCATAGGTGGACTTAGCCAACTTCTGAGACGACATTTTCTTGGACATGTACTCAATTGGCTTCAACTTTTTTCCCTCTTGTTGTGCAAGTACGCCGCCTATGCCATATTGGCTAGCATCCGTAGTTACTATAAATGGCTTGTCAGGATCAGGAAGTTTCAAGACCTCGTAATGCGTCGACGCATGCTTCAGATGTTTGAAAGCAGCCTCGCATCTCTCAGTCCACTCCCATGGGGTGTCAAGGCGGGTCAGATCAGTCAAAGGGGCCGCAACTATGCTATAGTTCTTCACGAAATTGCGATAGTAGCCGGTCATCCCTAAGAAAGATCTCATCTCAGTCACAGACTGAGGACGCGGTGTCAAGCGCATCGGTCCCGCACCGCACAAGGCAGCGCGGGACCCTCCCGGCCGCGTCACGCAGAAGTCGATCTGATCCTCGTCGCAAATGCACATGGAGCTTCCGCAAGCCGCTCCGGCCGAGTGCGCCAGCCATACCTCTCACGAGCCCCTACGACAGGATAGGGCCTACGCGAGGCACGACTTACCTCCACCTTACGGGAGCTGTCACCTCCCTTCGGTGGGCGTATCCCCGTCGAGCTACCAGTCCACAATACGAAAGTTAATCAGTTGCAATCGCAGAGGTGGACCAGCCGAGGGCGTTTCTCGTTCGATGTAGCATAGGGGGTACGCGCGGTATTACGCCTCTATCGGACCCGCACGCGAACCGGCATTTTGGGGGGCTGAGGTCCCAAGCGCGACTCGTCGCTGGTCGACTAGGACGCATCCCACACTCCACGTGCACACCACTCTAAAGAACATAAGAATAAAAACAAACACACACGTACATATACACAAAACGACACAGAACAAACAATGCGACAACACTCTTAGTCCCTTAGTAGCCATCCCATAACTCTCCAATGCGGAAATCGGATAGGCGTCGCGCGCAAGGCTTAGTATAAAACCGCGCGGACGCAGGGCCTCCCCATATCGACTTGCAATGCCAGCATACGCAAGCAGTCGCAATGATGGCGTACTATGTAGTACTCATATTCATGAAGTCCTCGTTAATCTCGAGGGTCCCATTCCACACTCAAGTGTCGGTTGACACGCGCCTTGAGGGATTACATCAAAGGAGGAGTGATCTCTCGACGTTCGACAACCGCCAAGTGCGGTTGAGAACCACACCCTCTTCTGCACCCTGTGGAGAGTGGGTGGTACAGAGGTTCATACCTGTGGTGGCAATCGTCTCTCATCGCCCTGGAGACCAGCTCTATCATCCAGGGTCTGGAAAGAAGTCAAGGGGTTTGACTTTGACGGCTCCCACGGACTACAACGTTCAACCATAAAAATCAATAAATGACAATAAGCAAAATCAGTCTGTAAGTAAACAAGCATCCCAATACCCATACATCAAATCAGATATCGAAATAAAATAAAAGAAGGGGGAAACATAAACCCATCAGGTATGCAGGTATGCAGATCGTGTGACACATCGTTGTCATTCTCACCGACTCCAAAGTATGGTCCATATACCAAGCTCCAAAATACTAACCTGCATAAAACACATGCATACACAATAGCCACATTGCCATACACCAATGTGGTCAACTTTACTTTTCCCTGTAACTCACACCACGCCTCACACGCTCGAACCCTAGTCATAGCCCAACTTTTCATAAATCTCATAAGTCCTTTATAATCGCCATTAAAAGAAGTCCGGATAAAACCCAAAAAAAAACATATAAAATCTCAGGGCTAAGGCAATCAAGTTGAGGTACAGGTGTAAGCAAAGTTGTGTCGTGAGCCGACAAGTCGGCGATCAACCAACCGACCTGTTATCAAAGATAACAAAAGATGATCCTCATAGGACCGAGCTGAACTAGTCAGATCTTGAATAGAAAACGGTCAAGAAGGACCTGTTACACAATACAGGTCAAACCCCAAATACTTGAACGTTAAGTGTACGGAGAATAAATCTATCTCTCCGATGGACCTCAAAGAATAAGGGAAATTCTGGCAGCATCTCCCCTATACAGGGTGAATTGCCAAGAATTCTCCTACCATAATATAATCTAACTCTTCAAAACTAGGAAAATTTCGGCAGCACTTCCCGTAGAAAAAAGTGTCTTTTCAGAATTTGTATTGAGACTAAATATAAAAATTCAAAAATAACTATGACTTCACAAAGTCAAATTTTGTCCAACTTCCTGATTTAGTAAAAATTTGGGCAGTACCTCCCCTAAAAAAATAGGCTTCCCATATTTTAACTAAGCCAGATATAAACTCAGACAAAAGTTAAACTTTGAAAGTCAAAATTTTGACCAACTCCTTGGTTTTGTAGAAATTTCGGCAGCGCTTCCTGTAAGAAAAGTAGCTATCCAAAATTTATACAGAGCCAAGTAAAAAAAAGATCCCAGAAAATGCGAGAACTTGATCAAAGTAAAATAAACTTAACTAAGAAAATGCAGGAATTGAACTAACTCCTATAGCTCCAGCACGTGGCGAGCACTAACAGACTTACCCTATTAAGCAGCAAAAATAAACAAAACTTGAACAAAAGACAAGGCTTTGGTAACAAGCATGTCATGTCAACAACTCATTCAACCGGTTCAAAAACAAGGGATCGTTCATCCAAAGTTTTCATCTTCTGTTTGTTCTGGTTCAAAAAGACAAGAGTCTTGTATCTTATTTAGTTAATTTTTAACTTTCCAGTTTGTTCTCAGTCAAACTCCATGCAATCCTTAACAAATTAGCCTGGACTATTCTCACAAGGAGAAGAGTCAGACCTTTATCAACAAGCACAATCTAACTGACTTAGCAAAGCGATCGGATCAGTCAGGAGGACCTCATCTCCAACCCCATTTCAATGTCTTAGGCAAACGAGCAAAGCAACCGGATCAGTCAGGAGGATCTCATCTCCAG